CTCCCAATACCACTCACATCCTTCAAGTCATGGACATGTTGTTTGGAACCTTCAAAATGATCTTCTTTGGCAACCTGCAGCTACTTTGGGAATACCGACAGAACAATAAGGACGAAGGCGATTCCATTACTCGGAATGACATTGGCCTCTTGTGTTATGGCAGCGTTCGTCGGCGGCAAAAGAATCCGCAGTTTCCTATTCTCCGGAACGCAGTTGAAGAGGCCTTCTCTATTGCCAAGACACAACATGCATGGGCTGACAAGCTTGGTGTCTATCCAGTATTCAATCGAAAAGCCCTCAATGATCCAAAAATTCGACATGAGTTGGTTGTTGACTCGGATGGAGCTGCGGACGACTCTATTGATCCAAAAGCCTCCTTGATCAAGACATTGAATGAGAGGAACACAATGTGCTGTGATATTCTAGATTCTTTCGGGTACAATGCAGATCTGCTCCGTTATCAAGCTCCGGCATTCCAACAGCAGAAGAGAGCCGCTGTTGTTACAGCTCCACGCTCATTGGATCGACAGCTCAAGTTGGAGGCAGCTGCAACTCAAGGTCAAGTCTTTAAAGTTACTGGTGGCGCTGCATTGAATGATGATGACTTCCTCATTGCCAATGAGCGTTCAAGATTGAGGAAGCAGGTTGATGCATTGGAGAAAGAAAAAAAGTCTCATGTGGCGAAGTGGAAGAGACAACAGAAGGCGATGGCAATTATTGAATCGGAGAAGCCATTGTGCCGATTAACAGGAGAGGATCTCAAAGATCTGATTGCCTGGAAGAGTGGCAAGCCATGCCCATCGAAACTATCAAAGAAAGACGACCGAATGGCTCGTTGGCTAGAGCTCAAGGACTTGCCTGTCGAGAGTGTTGAGCCATGGCCTGAAGAGAAAGAACAACAGCTAACAGATCTCACAACACAGATTGCTTCGAATCTCAGTCTGGAAGACACTGAGCTTGGTCGACACAGGGAACAGTCAAAGGCAAAGGCGAAGTCTTGGATAAAGGCCATGCCTCCACAGGAGAAAGAGGACTTCCTCCGGAGCCTGAACGACCACTCTGAGGCACCAACAGAGGATCTCACGGAGTCAGAGCGAGTGGATGCAGATGGTGACACCGAGTTACAGAATTGAGCCTCTAGCAGTATTAACTATTTGGATGGGCTCTGCCTGTTATCTCATGATGCTGCCCATGGTAAGTGTATCGCCTTTGGTGTTGGTGAGACTTCTTTCATTGACAGCATCCTCAGCCGACGCTTCTGTTTTTGCATTTAGGTCAAATGAGGCGCGCCATGGCGCCAGCCAACGTCATTGTGGCTATTTTTTCAATTCAAACGTAACAATTTACTAGTCTGGAAAAATTACTGGTTATTCTCGTATCATGGATAGAGAACGTGAGTTCCGCGCAGAAGTCGAGAAGACTCTCCGGGATGCATATGGACTTCGTCGCAAGTTCATCACCACACGTGTTCAATCGTGACGCGATTCACAACATCCGTTTCGAAAGTAAACTGGAAACACATCAAAGAACGTCGCCAACGACTCATCCAGAAAAACAATGAGAAGGGAAACGCGACGCGTGTCCCTCATCAATACAATGTCAACGATACCGTGAGGTTTCAACAGTATCAGCACCGCAAGTACGGTCAGCCAAAGTACGAAGGTCCTTACAATACAGACCGAGTCAATAACAATGGCACCGTACGGCTCCGACATGCTACCGCCAATAGCGGCACAGTCTACCAGACTTGGAACATAAGGTTAAGGTATTTACACCCATACAAGCCTGATCCCCTTGTAGGATTGCCATCGTGCGACGCACATGTCTACATCAATCTCGGAGGTGCCCGCACTTTAATTCATATGTTCTCCTTTCCGACTGATGTCGTTCCGCTTCTGTGACCCTTGTCAGGGGGCGAATGCAATACCAACGGCTCTTAGCCTTATTTCGCGACTCGAATCTGATAGGTTTGAGTTCGACTACATGACGTAGTCTCTTCGTGAATAGTCATTGAGACAGGTTCTCATGACTGCTAGTCATACTAGGTTGTCGATGGAAATCGTTCTAGATATTTAGCGGCGTGGAAAGCTTCCACTACTAGACAGCTACTAGCTGAAGTTTCCACGTGTTCCGGAAATGACGTGGAGTACGTAGAGTTTTTACCATAACCTACGATAACACACTTCGAGGCCTCCCGCGGGAGTCCAACTTCAATGAGCTTCGCAACGATCTCTCTCATGGATTAGTTTTCGTAGCTTTCTAATCTCTCTCATAATTTATATTCTCAAACTCAAACACTCGAAAGATCTTTCACTAGCTTTTAGCGTAGTGCACGTGCATCAAGTAGCAGGCTCCTGGACCATGTTGAGGTCCCCCATTGGCTTTCAAGTGTCAGTACAGTCCAAGGCAAAGGCTCTGCTGTTGACTTTGTAATCAAGTTTGACGAGACCATCACCCACTAAATGATGGCCACCGAGATCCTAGCGACAAGCTAAGTGACAGCATGCAGAAGCTTTTCCTGCAGCGTGCCTTCACCGATGTCCAAGTCTGAACGAATCAGGTCCCGTGAGCATGAATGATGTGCCGTCATGGTTCCCAGGAACGCTTCACTTATGAAGCCTACAAGGAGACACTCAAGAATGCCGCCACCCACTACGATGTCAACGCCGTGTTCCCGACTCCCAACTAGCCAACCTAGGAACTGTTGATGTGGAACCAGGCAATACCGGTGATGGGGAGCCGCAATCCTCGACTCCCATGACAGATTGGTTCAAGCTCTCGCCCGCCGCCCGCCAACTTGGTGCGAGCTCTCTGATGCCGACAGACAAGTCTGATAGGTTCGACGCCGCCTGTAGTTGATTCCAAGAGTGAAGCTGACCCAGCAGTCGGGGACACCTTGGACTCTCCCATGGCAATGCGAAGCTTCAATGGCAAGCCCAAGCCCAATCCCAACCTGGATTTTTGCATGGGGCGACTAGTGTATGTGCTGCACCGGTCAAGCCCAGGAAACCAGGCACCGCCATGTCTGCGGGGTAGCATGCCGCCCACAATGGGGCTACTTCCGCAGGAAATGCACCGTATGACAAGTCCCCTTGCTAGATTTGTCATAATGATTCAAGCATACCGTTTTGTGATTTACACCTTGTCTATTGTCACCAGTGGTGTCAAAAGACTCATCTGAGATGTATGTGTTGTAACGTTTTGTCAACCACGTATTGATTCCAATATGACTACTGACTGTTTGTCTCTGCCCCTCTGAGCTTTATGGGGAGACAAACAGATGGCTTCTAAGCCAATTCCAAGCTATGGTGCAAGCATGGGGAGACCAAGTGGGATCATTACTGACGTCCAAGTGCAATAGGTTCCTTGTGAATGGGGAGATACCCCCAAGGCATGTTCCACACACACCTTCGCGAGTGACCAACCCAAGGTGGATGTGTGTTGTCCATCCCAAGAAGTACCTCTGCGCACACCACGTCTGTCCTAGATCCTAACACCTTTCCTCTCTTGGACAACGATGGCAATCCAATGCCTTTGCCTTGGAGCCAGCCATCTACTTTGGAGGGTTTGAGATCACAAGTGTGATGTCCCTTCCTTTGTTCCAAGTGGTACCCAGCAATGGACACCTTGAAGTATTCAAGAGGGCTGCTAACCTTGTATTAGGTCACAGCCAAGGTCCAAACTGAGGAACCAGGTGCTCCCATTTTTGTGGGAATGTCGAGGAATGACCCAGACATAGAGAAGCTTGTTGACGCCCCCATTTGATGACTCGAATGGTGGGGAGCGATGAAATTAGCAATAGGAGCCTCTATGGGTGCGCCACAGCTGTGCTGGTTTAGTCAGATGGAAACAATGCTTTTCATCGTGTACAGTCAATCAGTACACACAGCATTGCAGCCATGTGACAATTTGTATATAGCTGAGGCATGCCTATGTGTTGCAGAGCATACATAGCCTTCAGCCTAGATACATTGAAATGTTCCAGACCAACAGTCCTCTCCTAGGATCTCCAACTGTGGATATCCTCTCCAAAAGAGCCAGTTCTGTCAACTGGAGTGAAATCGTGGTAATGATGTTTAGCTTATAGTAAGAAAGATAGTAATGAAAGAGTAACCCTGAGACCCAGTAGCACCGTCAGCCCTGCAGTAGATAGATTCCTGTGTGGTATGTGCTAGGGCAATGTAACCAGCTCCCCAAGTACTTTGAAGTAGTGATTGGGTAGCATTGATCCAGCTCTTTTGAGCTGGCCTTTCAGCCAGTGGAGGAGATCTTCATCAACCAGAGATCTCCCTCCCAGCTCTTGTGTTCCTACAACTGAGTTCCCTGGCGGAGATTCATAGTTCCCTGTCTTTGCCATGACTGGCAGCATTTCGATCCTCCCACAGGTTCCACCACTGCTGGATGAGCAGTGAGTTGTGACCATATTCACCACACGAGAGTCTCTCCATTGCATCACGACCACATTGTTTGTTTTGTCGACTGCAATCTTGTAGCTTCCGCGATCCGCTGTTTTCTGAAGGCTCATTAGCAGTTTTGGCCAACCTTTGCGTCCAGCCTTCACTGTGCCTGTTGCGTAGACATTGACCTTCTCCCGTAAAAGAACAGCAAGCTCAGGGCACATGTACCGATTGTCCAATGCCATATGATGCGGGGTAGCTTGCATGTCAAGGTGTAGTCCAAGACTGTACATGGCGTTCATGGGAGCCTTCTGCATCGTTGGCAAGCCGATGAGGTCTTCATGTATGCCCACTTCAGTAGGATTCTTTCCTTGGTAATCATCCAAGTGAAAGATGCAATAGCTATCGGAACAGGAGCAGATGAATAGATCTACTCTGAATTTCTTTGGTTTCTTCGAATTGTACTGGCGCACTGGACAGAACCTGGACCTTGTCGCGATTCCACCCTCATCGAAACATAGATCTCTTCCAACCGTAAAGGTAGACTTGGCATGTTCATTGAATGTAGTAATGGCATGGCGAAGCTGGTAGCACTTGTCAGTGTCATTTGGCACCTTCTTCTCTGGATGAAACAGCACGAATTTGGCGAAAGCGACTCAATGTCATGATGCTTCCGGCAAAGCCTTCGGATCCTTTGATCTTGATGGGTCTGATGTTCCTGTCAAACCTGATTGGACGCTCTTCAGGACTGAAATAAGCCGTGTAGCCACCCCCATCAACTGACGATAGAGAGATCTTCAACATGATGCCTAAGAAGTGGTACATCTCAGTTATTGAAATGTCGTCCCACTGTAAACCATGGAAATAGCGATTGGTCTTCTCTAGAAGAATCTTCTCATGACAATACTGGTTGGAATTGCAAGCAAGTCTTGCGACAAAGTGCTCATTCAAACCAGCTGTCACAGCAAGACACTGGAGTGGAGTAGAGAAATGTCTGCTAAGACCTGGACGAAGCTTTGTCTTCTCTTCAGTCAGCTTGGGAGTGGTCAGTGTTTCTTTGTCCGGGTCGCATGCATCATAATTCCACACCAGCTTGTTCAACAAGTGGATGATTCTTTTTGATTCATCGCGATCGTCCTCTTCGTCACTTGAATCTTCCATCTCTTCTCTCAGGAGGGTATCTTCTGGCAGGTTCAAGTACGCATTATCTGCCTCATCCAAATCACCACCTTCATCTTCGCTCTCAGAGGAAAGATCGCCAGCTATGAATTCCAGGTAGGAACTCAGTGGTAGGTGCACAAGAGCTGGGATGGAGAGCCCTGTTTGGTGGAGATCTCCTTCCACTGGCGCTGGAAAGGCCAGCCCAAGGCTGGCAGCCAATGCTATTCAATCACTGTGGAAGCAATGATTGAACAGTCTAATTGCTCAATACCCTGGCACTGGCCATACAGGATCCTGTCTACTGCAGAGCTCTACTTGTGCTGTTGGGTCTGTCTCTCAGGTCAACTATCCTTTCATTACTTCTTCTTCTTTAAACTATAACATGAACACAAACTCTGATTTTGCGTGAAACTCCATCATCCAGCCATGCAGGATACAGATCCATGCATCTCTTTTGGCTGGTATTGACCAAGCTACCTTTCTAGATAGGTCATGGCTGAGGAACTGCATCATCCTTCCTTACAGAGGAACTCTATGTCCTCTACAGCTGTTCCTATCTTGTCTGATGGTGACACAGCTCATTGTACTGAAAGACTGTACAGATGCAACAGCGATCTTTCCATCAGACTGAGCCAGCACAGCTGCGCCGCACCCATATGGCTCCTATGGCATAATCTCATCGCTCCCCACCATTGGAGTCATGGATGGGATGCCAACAAGCTTGCACATCATGGGGCTTCCCTCGATACTTCCATGAACTGGTAGCATCTGACTTCTCAGTGTGGACTTTGGTTGCTTACCTCAGGGGTTACCAACCCTCTTGAATACATCAAGGTGTCCATTGCTGAGTACCACTTGACACATTGGGAGGGGCATCACATGGGCTTGTGATCAAACCTCCAGTCGTGTTCAGGAGAGAAAGGGTGCATTGGCATTGGTCCATTTGACCGTCAATTGGGATCTCACCTGGTCTCCCCATACTTGCATCACAGCTCATTGGCTTAGGAGTTATCTGTCTATCTCCCCATAAGGGCCAGTGAGAACAATCTGGGCCATAACTGTTCATCTGGAGCCCTCAACTGGGTAGTTAGGTGACAAGTTGTCATCCTATGAGGTGGGACTGGTTGTCCTATCATCAGATATTGCCTCAGCTAAAGGCAACACCTCGCAGACGTCTCCTCAAGTTTACCATCTCCTTACATGGGTTCAAAGGAATCCCGTCCAGAGACACGACTAACTTGGTGCTTGCTTGGGTATGACCGGTGCAGGTCCTGTCACATGACATGGCAGTGGCTCATTCCACAGCCATCAGCTTGGGTGGGTGTTGCTCCAGCCCGACTGCTTCACCTTTGCTGAGGGTGACACAGTGTAAGTTCTCCCCATCACCCGAAAGTGAAGGGAGTGCCATCAGGGCGGGAGGGTGGGAGTCACCAAAAACATGTTTTCACAAAACGTTGTACTTGGAATACTATCCTGGAGATGAAGTTTAGCACAAACACTTTCATACTGGGCCATGTCCTGCGGAAGGTAGCCCTTGAGGGTGGCATGTACCCCGCAGCCATGGCCGGTCTGGGTACCTTGGGCTCAAACAGTGCGACACAAACACTAGTTGCCCAGGCAAAAATCCGTCTTGGACTTGCCCTTGAGGGTGCAGTCACCACATTGCCATTGGAGGATCTAAGGCGTCCCCGACTGCTGGCTCAGCTTCGCTCTTCGGATCCACCAGTCTGACATCTGGGTTTGACGGTGGGCTTCCATCAGGACTCTCTTGCAGCGACAGAGAGCCTGTACCAAATCTGGCGTCCATTGCTGGATAGCTGAGAACAGACGTGTCAGGAAGGCGTGGAACTTTACACTGCTCCCCATCACCCTGATGTCTCGTCTTGCCAATGTCGGCTATGTTGGTTAGACGTGAGTCATCATCTCTTCGGTTGATGTCAAAGAATGTGCGGCATTCAGTAGCACCCCCTTGTACCCGTCGTATGTAAACATGCATGATGTCCCTCGCGACATACTCTCTCATGTTCACGTGCAGAAATGTGTTCAAGGTGGGGACACCGGTGAAGGCCCGCTGTAAGAACAACTTCTGTATACCATCAGTGAGCCTATCACTGGAGTCTCCTGGCCATCATTGTATCGGGTAACAACTGTGCAAACTTGACAATGAAGTCCACTGCGGAACCTTGCTCCTCTGGGCTGTATTGCACACTAGTCAGCCATGTGAGGTTCTCCACATGATCCAGAGAACCTGCTACTGACAAGTGAGCGTCCTGGACAAGCTCAACGAGAATGGCAAAGCAGTCAGAGTCATGAAAGTGGGACTTCACGATCACCTTTCCATTGTGGTCTTCACTGTCTTCTGGAAAACAGCCTAGAACCAATGATTCATTCGTATGAGTTCATCCATGGACTCGGTGCTGCTTGGGACGTAGTTGCATCAAAGATCTTATGAAAACCTTGACCTCTAGCACAGTGATAAAGGACTCATACCACTGTCGAAGTCCTTGTTGGATTTGAGGATAGGTAGGCCGTGGCATCTGGCTTGGACGAAAGGGCTTGCCTGGAGGGCCAGTGTTGCCACCTCCTCCACCACCTCTGGACTTGGAAGACCATCATTGCCTCAGGGGTGGGAATGAAGGCTGACTTCCTTCTTGGTTTCTCCGGTTGATCAGGAGGTTGGCTGACAGAATAATGGGAATGCTGGGTGTACTGGTGTCTGGGAGTATGTTGCCTAATAGGCAAGGGCTGATAGGCTGCTGAGGACACATGCCGTGTAGGGACTGAAGAATCGGTTGTGTGTTGGGTATCTCACGAATGGGTGTTGGTGGGATGCCGTGATGTGATGGTATGATTGGTGTTGGTTGGGGATATACCTCCCCATTGAGGGCCCATACTTGGTGATGGTATCCACCTCCAGCAGGGGAAGTGGCAACATCCATGGCAACTTTGGGTTGGGATGGATGACCAAGAGGGTCCTCAACATCACCCAACAAACTCTGTTCCAAACTGCCTGGTTCTGAATCGGTCCTCCTAGCCTTAATCTCAGGGCTAGGCTTGTGTGATAAACCAGGTGTGCAGGGAGTGGAGTAATAAGGTGGATGGGATGAACCAAGCTGATTGGTATTGTGGCCTTGTGGTGGGGCCAAGGGAGCTTGGTTCATTTGTTTCATTTTCTTCAATGCTATTGCCAGTTGGTGGCTGATCATTGAAAGGGTAACACCATGGTTGGCTGGTGGGGAAGGAGTCACAATTGGAGTCCTTGACTGGTAGGCTTCAGGGGGGTCCACAGGTGTCCTTCCATGTGATGGAACTGGATGTGGAGGTCCTGCAGTGGTGGACCTGTTGGTGTTACCAGTGCTATTGCTAGATGCTGGTGGTGTAACACCAATGGCAGGCTGGGCCTGTTGTTGTTGCTTCTTCTTCTTGCGAGCCATGATAATGGTTGTTGGTGCGCTGGCTGAGTGTGGTGTGGTGTAGAGGTGTTGTTGTAGTGGCTGGACAAACACTGTCACAAGAAATCCAAAAGTGGTCCTGAAGGCGTGCACTGCTAGTCAATGACTAAACAGAGGCTGCTTGACACACTGGTACCCTTGGATTCCTTTGAAACGGCCGGACGGTGCTCTCGTGGTGTTGCGAGTTTACACCTGAGTCGACTCGTAACAGTGGATCAATTGCACTTGGTACCTTTTTCATTGCCCCAAAGTCCACTGGAAACTCTGAGACCATTTTCTTGACATAATCTATCATGTCAATCACAACCTTTCCTGGGTCGGAAAAGTCCACCGTCATCCCCAAGTAGTCATGCTTGGGACCACGGGTTGCCTTCACGGCTCCATAGGTAGAAGATGCTGTTGGGCATGGCTGCTCTCATCCTTGACTTCTGCTGTGGCACTCCTGTGATTGCAGGAGTCCATGAACAAAGCTAGGTGCTTGCTTATCTCTGTCTCATACAGTAGTGGTTGCTTCGCTTCGTCATCTTGGACGAAGGTCACTCCTTTCTTTGCTTCGGCTGTTAGACGTACAAGTTGGATTTTACATTTTGGAAGCAGCTGCTGGAATGCACCTGAGTTGAACCCTGTTGATTTTCCATGTTTAGGGAATTGAAGCTCCAGAGTCTCAATTCCCTGATTTGAGAGGATTTTGCGGACAAATTCAAAGTTCGCAGAATCAGCGAAAATGTGAGGAGCCTATCGCGCGAAGCGTCGGCTTGCTTTCGGAACAGAGGTCACTCGGAAGCAGAGGTACGGTACCGGTTCTTGTGAGTACCGTGTGAGTACCAGTTCCCTTTACCGGAGTACCTTGACCGGAGGCACGACTGAGAATTTCCGTAAAGGAAAGTCGACAATGATGCTTCCAGCAGGATATGCCGTCGGCTGACTGACTGAGACCGATTAACAAGAGACCAAGGTTACCAGCTTGTCAACCACCCTCAGGTTAGTAGGTGGACCTGTGGATACCTTCTCGAACCGACCAGGGAATGCGTCGCCTCTCGTCGAGTGATTCCTGTCGTGATTTTCTTGTTCGTCGGCGACAAGCCACTCTTCCACTCTTCCGTGCCTGAACTAGGCCGATTAACAAGGATATGGCTGATGTGCCGTGTAGAATACCCTTGATTTGGTAGTTCCACCAGGTGGTTCCACTCCAATCGGTCGCGATTCCAGTTTTCGGTCGTTCGCTGTGTCGGCAGGTTGATCCGGATGGATCGGCAACTCCTCCTCTCTTTGTCCTCCACGATTTCCACACTGAGCCACTCTTGTGTGCTTGCGACAAGTTAATCCTATGAATTCCAGGTAGGAACTCAGTGGTAGGTGCACAAGAGCTGGGATGGAGAGCCCTGTTTGGTGGAGATCTCCTTCCACTGGCGCTGGAAAGGCCAGCCCAAGGCTGGCAGCCAAATGCTATTCAATCACTGTGGAAGCAATGATTGAACAGTCTAATTGCTCAAATACCCTGGCACTGGCCATACAGGATCCTGTCTACTGCAGAGCTCTACTTGTGCTGTTGGTCTGTCTCTCAGGTCACTACTTCTTCATTACTTCTTCTTAAACTATAACATGAACAAAAACTCTGATTTTGCGTGAAATCCATCATCCAGCCATGCAGGATACAGATCCATGCATCTCTTTTGGCTGGTATTGACCAAGCTACCTTTCTAGATAGGTCATGGCTGAGGAACTGCATCATCCTTCCTTACAGAGGAACTCTATGTCCTCTACAGCTGTTCCTATCTTGTCTGATGGTGACACAGCTCATTGTACTGAAAGACTGTACAGATGCAACAGCGATCTTTCCATCAGACTGAGCCAGCACAGCTGCGCCGCACCCATATGGCTCCTATGGCATAATCTCATCGGCCAGAGCTCCTTGTAGTACGTCTGACATGACGCACGTCAACCTCAACTGTGGATCCAGCTGAAGCACTCCCAGCCATAGAACCAGTGCTATTACGACTGCGACTTGAGAGTGAGCTCACCGAAGGAGCTGACGTTCGCAGGGCAGCAAATGCGATGGCTGCTCCTGCAGGTGTGACTGACTCCCGTTGCACCCTGCGCTGCCGTTCTTGCGCTGCTTGATCCTCTCGGTTTTGATCATGGACCGCTCAAGCAATCAGCCTGTCTTCTGCGTCGTCCCTTGCTTTCCTCTCTTGGTACGCCTCAATGCACTGCCATATAGTCTCCTGGAACTGGACCTTGGGGAAGGAACTCCTTACCCAATTCACAGAGACACCAGTATCACCTGTTCTCCAGCAGATTGTGTATTGTTTGTCATTGTCCGCCTTTGGGCATGCAACAACCTGTCCGTCCAATGAATACCCCAGAGGGAACGCAGCATCAAATGATGCCTTGATTTCTGCGTCATCCTTCAGATACATGTCACTCGACGCAACCAGCCACTGCAACCTGAAGGTCCTCCTCTTTCTGGTAGACTTCTTCTTGACATTGGCTCCTTGAGCTCCATCTTCCTGTGTCAATACTCGGTCGTCATCTTGTGTTTCATCTTGTGTTTCTTGTTGGCTCACAGCAGGGGCATTTCGCTCATTTATCTCAGCCCGCCCTGTCAAGGCCGGCATGGGCGGTCCTGCCATCATAGACACATCCACAACCTCCTGTTGTATGTATAGACCAGCTGCATGGGCGTCTTGTTGGCTATAGCCACCTCCTTCAATCTCATTGTCACCATCCATTGTTGGCTCTCTGTTTTGTGGTTGATCTACGAAAAATGCCACGATTTTCGAAAACCCATAGAATCTCGATTTTCAGTCCAATCATGATGATCAGCACATGGATAAGAATGGAAATTTCACGGAGATTCCAAATATCACATCTTTGATCCACGAAATCAGAGTCTAGAGGGTCTACAGTAGCGATAAGGTTGCACGTGCGCATATTTGCACTCGTGGTTTAAGACGTGCGCATATCTGCACAGGTCTTATGATTCGCGTTAAAGGTGGAATTGAGAAATGGAGAATACTTCGCAAATGCACACGAAACATTTCCTCTTGCCGATGCCACGTTAGTAGGCAGATCGGGACCGGGGTTTTTTGAAGGAGCGGCTGCCACGATCACGAGAGACGATGCTCCTTGTTCTAGTGATGGAGTCTGCCTTTATCAAGATTTCATATCAGCGCTTGAGAGGCATTTGCGTCAAGTCTTTGGTGATCAATCAGCGGTCAATATCGAGTCTGTTGGCGACAAGTCCGTGGCCTCGGACTTCTTATCTTTTGCGGCGTCTGCTGTCTCGTCCATTGTTTCTCATGTGATGGTGGGTTCTGAAGGGGGGTCTCAGGCGGGGTCGCAGAACAGCAAATCCAGAAAGCGGAAGGGGACCAAAGGGGGTTCCAGGAAGGCAGCCGATTTAAGAGATCGCTGAAAGTCGTTCCTATTCGCGCTGCGCGACTTAGCGCGAGTTTCCCGCGATTCGCGCAGCGCGAATTGAACGAATGGTGCGACTTTACCGCGACTTAGCGCGACTTATATTGGCTTTCTTAGTGTAAATGCTAGTATTTGCTATTTGCGCAGCGCGACTTAGCGCGAATCGCGAACGACTTTTGGATTCGCGCAGCGCGACTTAGCGCGAATCGCGAACGACTTAGGGCGACTTGCGGGAGTGCGTATTTTTAGCGATGGCTTAATGGGCTGCCTTCCAGGGGTTCCACTCCCAAGTTTAATCTTACCGTCATTCCTCAAGAGGAGGAGATTTTCTGGGGTAGAAGGCAGTGATATGATTGGTGGAGAAGGCGTGTTAGTGTCAGCAACATTTAAGGGGTAGTGACGCATACATGACAGATACTTACAGAGACAATGTGCTACCATTCCCGTCATTTGCGAGCCAAAAATATGGAACGGAAAGATTCCATTGCGAAGTTCTCTGTTGGCGCCCATCGACCATGGCCAAAGCGACGGTCATTTTCATCACTCGCACTTCATTAACCACAAGTAGAAAGCCTTGAACATGACTAGCAACACCCCTGCAAGCCACCCTGAGCAGCAGCAGCCAGCTCCATTAGATGAGAATGAAGAAATGGGTAGGCAAAGTCAGCAGCGCAAATCACTTCAGAAGAGAACAAACGACTTTGCTGCCAACAACCCTTACCCAAAGCGATCCAAGCCGAAGGTTGTCCAACCCACTCTTGATGGCGAAATAGCATTTGATGCACTGGTTGACTGTGAAGTTTGCAAAGCAAGACACTACGGGCTTCGAGTTCCCAAGAGAGCTCATCAGGTCAAGTGTGTGAGAAACAAACTTACCAAAGGTGCCGGCGAGATCCATGAACACACCGTTGCTTGTAGAATTGAAGAGAAGCGGCTTGAGAAGCACTTCAGCCAACCTTTGGCTCAGCACGAGAAGTTCAGTGCTGCTCATCTAACAAAGGAGGCAGCAGCTGAATTTTTCGCTCCCAAGAAACAAGTGGCAAGAAGCAAATCAGCAACCTCCATTCTGCCAACAACAAGAATTCGCTCAACTCGCACAATGGATTTCTGCAAAGCAGTTACAGAGGCAGTCAATGATGAAACTTTTGTGGAAAAGCACAAGTCCAAGGGGGCTCCATTGGCTATGCTCGCTTTTGCTGAGCAGATTACCCAGCATGTAATTCGCCCCAAGAAAGATGAATTGCACAAGCAATTTTTCCAAGGCATCACCACTGTTGTGCCAGAGTCGCCCTATTCTGCAGTGTCGCCTCACTATCATTCTATTGTGGGCCAAAAATTGCTTCTTGTTGACTGGCAGAAACTTGGCATTACAGTTCCCTGCCCCAATGCCCGATGCACTGGCCAACTGGCCAACCACGAACGAACCAACTTCTCCAAAAATAAGACATTGTTCCCCATCTATTGTCTTCAGGGCAGCCCTTCCTGGTGCATTGTCCAGCCCATGAAGTGCGGCGTCTGTTCCAGAAGGTGGGACGCAAACGATGGTGAGATTTTGGTGGCAATTCCTGCGTATGCAGCAAGTCTTTATCCAGTAGAGCCAAAGTTTGCACTGTCGAAGAAAAACGGGCATGTGTCCACTATGGCCTCCCAAGTCTTCAGCTCGATTATGCTAACCTACGCAAATGGTGAATTGTGCAGTAAGCTATTGTTCAATGCAATCAATCAGGACTATTTACAGCGAATTGCTTCCTACTACTCACTACTACAACAACAGTCCGATATTCCAAAGCAGCAATACATTGAAAAGGACGGTGTGTTCATTCGCCAATATCCTCCTCTTGGGGAAACCGTTCGAGATCTCTGGGATGAAGCTGCCGAATGCAAGAATAATCCGTGGGGCATTAGTGACAATGAAAGACACACCAGAGAGATCCAGGCCGTTCAATGCAAAGAGGGTATCTTCTGTCAAGACCACACCTTTCAGGTTGTCAAGAACTATCAAAAGAGTTTAGGGGCTGTTGCGGTCTGGGATTGTGCAACTTCAACCGGAGAGATAGCTTCAGCCGTACTGGTTCCTTCCACCAAAACGATCCACTACTCTCATGCAGCGAAGCTTCTATCCAGGCGTCAAGACTTCACTCCCAATGCTATGTACAGTGACACATGGCCGGATGGCAATGTATACTGGAAATCGCTCTATCCAAACTTACTTGGAAGATTGGGCCTGTTCCATTTTGAAAAAAGAATTATCAGTACCATGCGCAAAGGCCACATTGATTATGGGGATGCACTTACTTCCCTCTTGAATTGCCTCTACGTCTATGAAGACAGCGACTATGCCAACCTGATGACTGCTCTGAAGACTGGAACCCTTTCCGCTTCTGGTCGCTGTTACACTTCCCAAGAAATCTGTGACATGCAGGATTCCAAAGTGTTCCGTGAGCGCTATGCGAAGTATTTGTGCAAGAAAATTCGGGAACCAGCAACCATGATCCAGCGACTTGATGTTTGGTTCTGCCGTTACAAGGTAACATCTTCTGACCCTCAAAACCGACCTGCAAGAGGTCGTCTTGATCCTGTGAAGCAAGTCCCTTTGTTCTCCAGTGATACGAAGAAGGCCGTTGACAACTGCAAGGAAAAAGCCCATCATTTAGTTGATCCCAGGCCCTTGGAAGAGATGTACGACAAAATTGCTCCATCGCCCAATTCAAAACATGGCCTTACCGAGAACTTGTCCAAGAGAGGAGAGTCCAAATTGGAGGCTTTCCATGATCGCTTTGCTCACTTCGGCAACAGTGGGATGAGAAGTCGGCTCTGTGACAGTCTCAACCTGTTCGGAACAGCAAGATACAACTTACAAATCAGATACAAGAGGTCTCTCATAGCAAGCAACCAAGAAGAAAGGAAGAGGATTCCAGCAGGTTGGGAAAAAGTGGTGCCGTATTGGAACCACTCTCAGCTTGCCTACATCAACAACTTGGCAAAAGTTAACGGCATTCAACAAATCCCATTTCCAAAAGTGGAAGACTTACCCAAAGATAATGGTGAGCGATTCTTTGCTGCATTCATCAAATCAGTGAAGCCACACCGGCAGAAATACAGCGTGGTTGGCCATTGTCTTTGTGATATGTGCACCGGTGCACCACCAACAGCGAGTATTCCGCGGCCAGCACCATCGCCAACTGCACCGACCGATTTGAATTCAAATTCTGCTACCCAACAACCATCAACGGACAACCGCCACCGTCTAAATGATCGCCAGCAGAACAGTTAACCGTCAGCAACGCCTCCATTAACAACAACTGCACCGGCCATGGCCGCGGTACCTACCGCTACTACCACTACCGGAGTGCCTATTGCAGCGCGAGTAACAACAACAGCAACAACAACAATGCGACGGGATACAGCTTACAATTCAGCTTTACAGCTTTATAAATTGCGGGCCTATTCTAGAAAATAATCAATAACTGCTCACTTATTTTGGAAATACAAACTTTACATTCTTAGATCGTAGATTTAATCAATCCACAATGGTATTGTCGATGGTAGCATGCGAGGTTAGAGATGTTACTCATTCTATTCTTATATGTCTATCCCTTATGGTTGTCAATGGAATGGCTATCCCTTGGTGCAGAGTCTTGAGTTTCCTCTCATTATTTTCATCGGTAGCCTTCCCTTATTGCAACTTAATCTTGCGATTGGATCTCATATAATCCCTTGTCGATAACTTGGATTCGCTCGCAAGCAATCCCCTTTTTGTTGATTCCGCTCGTGAACGCAATCACTCCTGTTGTCTCATTAGTCCACTTTCATCCTGTTCGTCGATCGAATCGCGATGAGGATCCTATTCTTGACGATCTCGGCTTGTTGTCTGCATTGGTCATGCTTCCGGACCACTTCCCGCCTATTATTTGGTCGTTCGCTCCGGTTGCTGGCTTCGTTGCTTCGGCGTTGCAGTCGTCGTGTTGAACAGCTTGTGTGTTTGAAAGATAAACGCGTTGTGCTGTTAATTAAATTTGAATTTGCAAACAATTCGGGGTGGGCCTAACCCTCGACGTCATATCCAACTGCTCATTATCAACCGCTCTCCTCCTCCTGTTGCTAATTGCTCTTGTTGACATTGCTGCACTGTTGACCTTGTTGATTTTCAATGCCTCCTATTCCATCAGCTATTAAAGGACCTTGACGACGACGCTCCTTATCTCAGCATCCTCGTCATCACAACTCTTCAACAGCACAGCACCATCCTTGTCATCCACAGGATCAGCAAAGCCTCTTTGAATCGATATCCATCACCCACATCTGATCTCCA